AGTTCCTGGGCTCCTGCCATGCACCATTTGAAGCCTTCAGACACCAAAAGAGGAAGGTCAACGGCCACTTCCTAGAATAAGTGATCACAGGTTCAATGACACACCTATCCAATGTCACAATGTCATTCCCCAGAAATCGAAAATCTAAAACTACATTTGGAAGCACAAAGTCACCCACACAGTCAAAATATCCTTGAGGATGAGGAACAAGGTGGTGGCTCCATCGTGCAGACAGGAAATCTCAGTAGAAACCTACAGAAAGCAAACACTATGGCACTGGGATCATTGAATAGGGGGATAGACCATGGACAAGAATAACGGGCCCTCTCACATCTAGGGCATCCTCATCAAGACTACACACGGGCCAAGGGTAGTCTCTTCAACAATCCACAGATTGAGAAGGCAACCTACACAACATAAAGAATACTGCTAATCCTTCCATCAGGGAAAAAAAAAAAAACACGTTTATTTGAAAAATGGGAAGAAAGGGCAATTAACCAAATTGGAGGATGGGGAGACGACTGGCATAGTCATGGCTCCAAGGGAAAACAAAATCAATGGCCAGCAAGTTGAGGGAAAGATACTGACATAACTAATCATGTGGGAAATGCAAATGCAAGGTCAATGAGCTATCACTTCATAGGTTAGCATAGCTGGGATCCAAACCAAAAACCAAAACGCAGTCGCCAAATGAGGGTGTTGGTAAGAATGGGGAAAATCGGAAGCATTGACTGTGGTTAGTTGTGATGTAGAATGGTGCAGCCATCACAGAAGACTGTCTTGAATTTACTCGAATAATGGGAACTAGAACTCCCATAAAATCAGTGTTCATGTGCTTGAGTATACATCCAATGGAAATGAAATCATTACTTCGAAGTTATACCTGCGATCTCATGTTCATTGCAGTATGTACACAACAGCCAGGTTATGGACATTTTAGTCCAGGACCTATCAATACAGGAACTTGAAAGAAAAGGTGATATGTTCATACAATATGATAGTATTTAGCTTTTAGAGGATGAGGGCATCCTGTGACGTATGGAAACAGGAATGTCATGGAAGACATTCATCTAAGTGAAATAAGCCAATATCAGGAAAACAAATACCGTCTGACTGCATTTACATGGAGGTTGGAAAATAGTCAAGGTCTCCTGGTAGCAGAGTGCAGATGGACAGTTGTTAAGAGTTTGGGGAGGAGGAAATGAGGTGTGGCTATCCCATGCTTGAGGAGAATTTGTCCTGTAAGATAGAAAAGTGTGGAAACATACTGCACCAACCAGTGCACTGATTTAACAATATTGTGCTGTCTACTTGGAAAGGTGTCATGTTCCCTGTGTGTTTACCACAAAAATATACGTAAGAAAAAAGTATAAATTTAAAACAATTGGGTTGAGGGAGAAGGGTCACAGAAGGTTTTGGAAAGGACAGGAAGAATGTATGTCCAGGTGCAGAAGAAGATGTGTACACAATTCTCACAAAAGCAAAATGGTCCTGTACTTTCTCATTCCCATTCACCAAGGATCCAAATAATGTGGAACGGGTAAGCAAGGAGGGCTCAGGTAATACGAGTTCTCCCAATTTGGAATCATTGTAATGCACCACAAATAATCGAAATTATGCTCCACAGATTAAAAATGTCCAGGTTAACCTTCCTTCAACGAGACAATTTCTGGAGTACACAATGATATTTAAACATCCTCTAGTCTCCTGCTATTCTTGTTTCTTTGTGGAAACAGGCATGTGTAAATTAAACTCTATCAAAATAGACATTTGTCACAAGATTTAGGCTCTAAAGAAAGCGGAATCGTAATTTGGCTCTGTTTATATTCACATTGTCTTACGAGAGCTACGTTATGTGGTTGGCTTGCAAAAGCTTTCAGACTTCACCCAGCCCCTCTTTCCACTGGCAGATGGACAGGAATGTGAGTGGGAATCTCCTGTCTCACTGGTGAGGTGTTAATTCCACACCTTGAAGTACGCAACATCGCCTCCAGGGCTCCTTGGAAGAGAGCCAAGTGCTCATACTGATGCTCAGTCTCTGACAAACATCCTGTTGGACTCTTTGATTTACACTTTTAGTCCAGCACACAGAACTGCAACAAGGGTCAGTGGTGGGTGCTGGATTTCGCATCTGAGAAAGACAGGTTGATTCTCAGCAGGAGTATCTGCAGAGAAATGTCAGATCCCATTCTCGGAAGGTGGAGAAAGAAGGAGTTAGTCTCCCTGCCTAGTGCTAGAAGTTCCTAATTTCGCCAATTCCCACAAGATCGGGATAGGCACGAGGCTCAACACGAAGCCACCTGCAGAAGGAAGAAGTCCTGCCCTAGTACCCTGTGACTAGAGTGACGTTGGGAAGATTCATTGTGCAGCCTCAGATGAACAGGGCTGTGTGTGAGAAAAGTGGCAAGAGTGACGTACCATGACGTGCCACGAGATCTACCAGGAGGTGAGGTCCTGTTGTCACTGCCTCTGTGACAGACACTGTAAGATGTGACAATTGTTTCCCTTGTACATGCACATGTGTTGGGCGTACAATGAACACATTTACATTGTACTTTTTGATTCATTATAATACGCATAATCCCTCATGATGTAATAGTTTTGGGATTCTATATTGAGAGAGTTGTCACCATTCTTAAGGAAGTCTATATACATTCTAGAGAAACACACCATACACCGAATACACACACACACACACACACACACACACACACACACACTGAGAGTTGCAGCATATGATTCACATGTAGACACACCTACTTCCCTGCACACAAGCCTACACCACCTGATGGCAGTACCGCTGCTTCCAGGGTTCCTACCATGACTATAGGTCTTTTCCTGGAGAACATCTTTGGACTGCAATGTCCTTGTTCTCATACCAGGAGGTACTGTAATCAGGGTGGCTCTGCACAGTAAGCCTGCAAGAAAGCTCCACCTCTCTCATCTTCCAGATTTCTCTTTGCCAAGAGAGTGACTCCAGAATACATACAGCTTTCACATTCCAGCAGGGTGCTCTGCAATGTCAGAAGATACTATGAGGATCAAATGTTGCTGTGTTTTGTTGGGACAGCTCTTTTGTCATCTTAATGACAAGGGCAAATTAGATGGGAAAGAGCTATAGAGGCCAACGAACACCAAAGCAAGAACAGTGAAAATATAGTCATAGTCAAAGGCATTAAATATTCTTACTTGGGTGTACATCAAAGACATTTTGAATATTTTTAATGTTTGTATATTTTAAAGAGAGGAGAGAGAGAGAGAGAGAGAAGAGAGAGAGAGAAGAGAGAGAGAGAGAGAGAGAGAGAGAGAGCACTCGGGGAGGGGCAGAGAGAGAGGGAACACAGAATGAGAAGCAGGCTCCAGACTCCCAGCTGTCAGCACAGACCCTTCTGTGGGGCACTACCACACACTGTGAGACCATGACTGGAGCCCCAAGATTGGACACTTAACTGAGTCGCCCATGCACTCCCCAAGTCGCGTTGTGAAAATGAAATGCAAGAATCAAAATTGCTGCTGGTGAAATGCTTACTATCCCATAGATGGTAATTGATACTGCTATTTTTTCAACACCTTTGCAATCAGGTATCCATTGGTAATAGTCTGTCAGTGGATATTCTCCATATAAAGTAAGTTGGATATACCAACAGGCGTGCACATGCTGAGAGTTTTATACCTTAATTCTATTGAACGAGAAATAAAACAATCTGCATTACACAAAGAAAGGCAAGCATATCTCAGAGGTCGATGTGGTGTCCCCATCTCCACTGTCCAAGGGAACTGCTTCTGTGAGGTCATTGAGAGAACCTAAGAAGATACACAGATAGTTCCATGATGCCAGTGGGACTGCTCTGGAATTGTTCCAGGGGTTATGCTCGATGGGAGTCATGGACTCAACTATATAGAGATGGGTGGTGAGTGAGTATCAACTGAGCTGCTGCTGGGCCATCCTTGGTAGACAAAGGAAGGGAAAGGAAAGAAGCAGGTAAGGAAATAGAAACAGGGCCTCTGGATTTTAGCTATTTCAATGTGTAATCTGGAAACAAGGCGTAACACTGAAACGCATGCTATGTTTTGCTGACTGTGTCTTATGACCCTATTGCCTCTTGAAGTTCAGGAAACGATCTTATGCTGTGGACATCTTGAAGACAATGTCTTTGCCCTGGCTGTGCAGGAGATATGCAACCCGAGTGGTGAGAACAGTCCTCACTACCAAGCTTTCCTCTGGGTTCATATTTAACAGGGTCCCTTCAGGGTGTTCCACAAGGTTTGAGCACGTCTTAAGGCTTATGATACTGTTATGAAATTGACTAGCAATCTTACTGATTCTTCTCTGCTCGGACCCCATATGAGAGGTGCTACTAGGTGTGAAAGATGTTGGGCCATTTATGTCTCCTCCATCTCCATCTCCAGAAAGGAAATATGAAATAAACCTTCAGGTGCAGCTGTGCTGAGGGAAGAATGTACTCCTGCAGGCAGTGTGTGCAGTGAGCCTGACTTCTGGTCCTGGAAACTGGACACCTGCCTTGTTCCGTGTAAGTGGCACAGGTCTTCTGAAGAAACACACACCCCACACACCCTCACGCACATCACAGAAACACGCAGAAATCACCCATGACCCTCATCCACAAAAATCCTACCACCTGAATGACCTATTTGCTGTCAGGAACTGTAAAATATGGTTATATTGTTTTACCATACAATCTGTTTTTCTTACAAAACTCCATGTTGCATTCCCAGGTGGAATCCAGAAATCAGGGATTCTCTCCAGTCCAAAGCAGGTGAAAAAGTCCCACCTTCATCATCAGCTGGACTTGTCCTTATCAAGTCGCCAATTCTAAACACTATTTAATGTTTTTTATTTACTTTTGAGTGTCAGAGAGAGACAGTGCGAGCAGGGGAGGGTGAGAGAGAGAGAGATACAGAATCCGAAGACAGGCTCCAGGCTCTGAGCTAGCTGTCAGCACAGAGCCTGATGCGGTGCTCGAATCCACGAACTGTGAGATCATGGCCTGAGCTGAAGTCAGATGCTTAACTGACTTCTAGCCTTCATAGGATGATGTGTTAATGTGGCCTCATCCTGCAATTACAGAAAAGATGACATTATGAGTTTCACATCATCTTGTACACAGTTTCCACGTGAATATTGGTCTCTTGGTGATGTTAGCAGCGAGTTGGGCTGCAATTTTTGAGTCAATGACTTGTAGAAATCTTACCAAGTCACCTGTCAACAGCTCCAATATTCAAGGTCACATCACACAAGTCACTTTGATCAGGAAACGCAAAATGATTTTCCACAGAGGAAAATTATCTCCTGACAAATGCTCACTACCATCACATAGGTTCAGATTGGTGGTGTAATTATTATGTTTTTCCCTTGAGAATTCACGTCAGTTGGTGATAGGAGCTTAGGAAAACCCCTCGGCGCCAGTAAATTGTACAGAACCTCTCAGAAGGACATGCACAGATGTTCATATCTTAATTCCCTTGAAATCAGAGTGAAGCAATGGTGCTCTTTCAGATACAGAAAATGACTTTACCTCAGGAAGAGTTATGGTGCTTCCTCCACCTTGGTTCTTGGAAGCTCTTGCCTGGACCCTCAGGGGCAGCTAGGAGAAATCAGAGCAACTGACAAAGACACTGGTGGGGCAGCTCAGGAACTAGTCAGAGTTTCTATTGATGTGAACATGAGGTGAGTGTGTGCATATGGATGAATAGTAATTATGTACTGTGCTGCTGGGCATCCTCCTGGGAGACAACGGATGGCAAGGAGAGGAGCAGGAACGATATGGGCAACAAGGCTTTAGTCTTTCTAGCAGGTGATCCTGATGAAGGCCAGAGAGTTAATGAAAATCGTGGAAATGCTGAAGTGCCTTGTGTGTCAAGACGGGGTCTCATAGCCTCTCTTGATTGTTTCAAGTTCAGCCAGGCTATCACTGTTTGTCTCTTGGAAAATCTGTTCTTCCCCTAGGACCCCCATCATCTATTTGCTAGGATTTTGTGACCGTGATGTCTACTTTGGAAATTTGTACTTGAGGAAAAGCAACCTTGAATGTCTGAGCAGTTTTCCATTGTGTGCATGGATCATATTTTATTCCTCCTCTCATCCCTTGATGGACTTTTGGGTGGTATCTCTAGGGCTACCGTGAAGACGGCTGTCGGGAACAGTGGGCGCACAATTCCGGTCTCTTACTGTCATGGGGATACTTGAAATTCTGCATTGGTCAATCGCATAGAATCCTAAAGATATCTTTCAACAGAGACTGTGGCTTTGACTTCATAGATAGTATATTGCTGGATCATGTGGGATTTTTCCCCCTTGTAAATCCATTCAGCTGGTGTTTACCTTTAAATTGGCGAGTTTAATCTGTTTACATTTAGTGTAATTATTGATAAGGTAAGAGTTATGTCTGATTTTGCTATTTTTGATATGTCGTATGTCCTTTCTGTTATTCTAATCCTCAATCACTGGCATTTTGTGTTAAATAAACATTTTCTAGTGTGCCATTATAAAAAAAAATGAGAAGTATCGATGTCCTTTCATTAATGGTGACATATGTAATACCCTCATGGAAGATGTTTGACATGGCGGAAAGTGGATGGGTGGTAACCTGGAACTTGCTGTATTATCTGTTCAAATTTTATCTTAAGTGAAACCTGTCGTCAAGCATGTCCACTAATATCTAAAAATCTGGAAGCACTGTATCCCGGGGAGACTGAAATTGATTTCTGTTCAGAAGTTAGCTAATATGTATACCTTCAGGTACTAGATACTTGTCGACTATTCAGCATGGATCCTGTGTTGATATAGAAATGCTTCTTGGAGGTAGCCAAGATGGCAGAACAGCACAAAAGTCTTTTTTCTGTACTGGGTACATGAAATACAGTCAGATCAACACTAAGCCATCCTGCACACCTAGGAAACTGATTTGAAGATAAACACAACAGTGTGCACAACCTGAACCACAGAACTCAGCAGGTACACGGCAGGGAGTAGTGAACTTGGGGTGAGAGGACAGTATGGGAAAAGTACACCCCACAACAGCAGCTGGAGAGAAAGTGGAAAAGTGGAATCAGCTGTAGGGACTGAACTCAAAAGGGAGAAAGGAGAAAGGAGAAAGGAGAGGGTTTAAATTCCATGAATACTTTACACAGGGGGAGCACAGAGTCAGACACTCTGCAGCTCAAATACGTTGTGGTGCTCTAGTGGGAAAGGCGGATTCCCAGGAGAGTGGGTTTGGGAGGTCCTCAAGCCATGGGTGATTTTCCATAATCCTGGAAACATTGCTGCTACATGGTAGTGTGAACTTTTTCTGGGGTGGTCTGGCACCCAGACACAAGTCTCTGGACGCTGGAAGCAGCAGGATCCTGGGAATGTTCTTGGGTGTGGCTGGCACCAGCCACTGCCCCATGAGACCCTCCACCACAGGATGTGAGTGCCTGAAAGCCACAGTCCCTCAGAAGCAAAAGGTTGGGAAACGCAGCCGCATCTCAGATCAAACTCAGGAGGATGGTGCCCCCTGGCAACTGACGGTATGGTCACAGACAGTGTAAAAGCAGGGAGTGGACAGAAACTGGAGGAAAAAGACAGGGGACCCATTGTTGGTCAGGGAGAGCATAAAGCACCCGACCGCGCATGCACATACTCACCTACTGGCACCACCACAATCTAACCGAGGAAGCTACGAGGGGCCATCAAGGGTAGAAAGGAGCCATTACACTAAGCCTTCCCCAAACTTTCCAAGCTCACTCTTCAGCAACAGCAGAATCTGTCTGCTTAGATTACGTACTATAACCTGCTTCTTAGTTGCCTTCAAGAGGAGAACGATGTAGTATCCATCGTATTTCTGTCCATTCACTCGTCCATGTATTCAGTTTTCTTTTGTTTTTCCTTCTTCTTTTGTTTCTTTTCCTTTACTTGAATACAGAAAGAATAACTTATTTTTATTTTCAATTTTCATTACAAATATTTTTATCTTTTTTCTATTTTGTTTACTTCTATTGTAAATTTTTCAAATTTCATTTTTACATCCTTCAAGTTATTCTATTTCATCGTTTTCATTTCCTCAAAATTTCAAACATTTTCTACTGTTTTGTTTTGTTTTTCCCCTTTTTCGGTAACCGGTCAAGCCCCTTTCAATAACCAGACTAAAACACACCTGCGATCTCGCATCACTTATTTAATTTTGTGTGTGTGTGGTGTTGTTTTTAATTCGTTAATTTTAATATTTCCCCATTTTACTCATCAATCAAGCTCCTTTCAATAACCAGACCAAAAAAAAAAACACTCATAGGATTTAGCATCATATATTTGATTGTTTGTTTGTGTGTGCGTGCATACGCACAAGCATGTGTTGATTTTCATTGTTTCCTTTTAATTTTTCCTCCTTTTTCTCTCAACAATCAAGCTCTTTCAATTACCAGACCAGGATGTGGGAGCTATCTGGCTGCGACATCTGTCACCCCATTGATCGCCAAGGTTGATTCGGCTGATCTGGCTGGCTAGGTGGGTGTCCCCTTCCTCCCTCACCGTTCCATGTGGGTCCCTCACGAAGCTGCACGCTCCGATGAAGAGAACGACCTTCCCCGATAGAGGAGGACCGTTCTTCGGTCAAGGGTATACGAGTAGCTGCTCTCCCCTGCTAGAACCCCCAAACAAGCTCTCAAGGTCAATTACCAGAACAAAACATACCAAGTATCGAGCATCATTTAATGATTTTTTATTTGTATGTGGTGTGTGTTGTTTTCAACTTTTTAATTTTAATTTTCCTTTACCTTATGAATGCCTTTTCTACCTTCAAAAGGAATTCACCCCAGAATACACAACAGGAAGAAACGACAGCCAGGCACATAACCAACACAGATACAAACAAGATATCAGAAGCAGAATTTGGAATCACGATAAGTAGAATACTGGCTGGGGTTGAAAACAGATTAGAATCCCTCTCGACGCAGATATAAGAAGTTAACAGCTACTCAGGATGAAAGAAAAAGCTCTGCTGCAATCTCAAATAGATGCCATCGCGGCAAGGATGCGTGAGGCAGAGTATGGAATCAGCGATATAGAGGACAAACTTATGGAGAATAATGAAGCAGAGAATAAGAGAGAGAGTCAAGCAAAAGAGCACGATTTAAGAATAAGGGAAATCAGTGACTTCTTAAAAAGGAACATCAGAATCATAGGGGCCCTAGAAGATGAAGAGACAAAAAATGGGGTACACGACATATGTGAAAAAATCATAGCGGAAAACTTTCCTAACCTGGGAAAGACACAGACATCAAAATCCAGAAAGCACAGAGGACTCCCACAAGATTCAACAAAAACCGACCATCAACAAGGCATATCGTAGTCGAATTCCAAAATACTCAGGCAAGGAAAGAAACATAAAAGCCACAAAGGAAAAAAAAAAAAGTCCTTAATATATAAGGAAGAGAGACAAGTTTTGCAGCAGACCTATCCACAGAAACATGGCAGCCCAGAAAGGAGGGGAAGGACATATTCAATGTGCGGAATCAGGATAATATGCAGCCAAGAATTCTTTATCCAGAAAGGCTGTCATTCAAAGTACAAAGAGAGATAAAAAGTTTCCCAGAGAAACAAACATTAAAGGAATCCATGACCACTAAATCAGACCAGCAAGAAAATTGAATGGGGATTTTCTAAGGTCAGAAAGGATGACAAAAAGGAAAAAAAAAAAAAAAAGACCAAAGGCAACAGAGACTAGAAAGACCCGCGTACACCACCAGAAACTCCAACTTTACAAGACACATGAAGGCAATAAACTTCTATCTCTCAGTACTCACTCTAAATGTCAACGGGCGAAATGCTCCAATCCAAAGGCATAGGGTAACAAAATGGAGAAGTAAACAAGGTCCATCTATATGCTGTCTACAAGAGACCCACTTTAGACGTAAAGACACTTTCAGATTGAAAGTAAGGGGATGGGATGGAAACCATCTATCATGCTAATGGTCACCAAAAGACAGCCGGAGTAGTCATACATATATCAGACAATCTAGACTTTAAAATAAAAACTGCAGGGGCGCCTGGGTGGCCTAGTCGGTTAAGCGTCCGACTTTCGCTTAGGTCATGATCTCGCGGTTCTTGGGTTCGAGCCCCGCGTCGGGCTCTGTGCTGACTGCCCGCTCAGAGCTTGGAGCCTGCTTCAGTCTGTGACTCCCTCTCTCTCTGACCCTCTCCTGTTCACGCTGTCTCTCTCTCTCTCTCTTCTAGAAATAAATAAAACATTTAAAAAAAAAACTGCAACGAGAGATGACAAAGGGCATTCTATCATCATAGGGGGTCTAACCACCAAGAAGACATAACAATTGTAAACAATTATTCTCCAATTGTGGGAGAACACCCACATATATGAATCAATTACTCACAAACATAAAGAAACTCAGTGCTACTAATACCATCATAGTAGGGGACTTCAACACCCTACTCACAGCAATGGACAGATCATCTGAACAGAAAATCAACAAGGGAACAAAGGCTTCGAATAACACACTGGACTAGATGGATTTAACAGATATATTTAGAACATTTCATCCTAAAGGAGTGCAATATACATTCTTCTCCAGGGCACAGGGAACATTCTCCTGCATAGACTGCATCTTGGGAAACAAATCAGCCCTCAACAAGTACAAAACGTTTGAGACCATATAGGGCATAATTTCAGACCACGCGGGGCACAGAGGCCTCAGATCCCAAGTTGTACCACTGCTTGGCCCCGACAGATCTGAGGCTGCGACACTTCTCCCAACCCCACTCAACCCCAGGCAGCACGGAAGCAGCGACGTGTGGGACTGTTTCAGGAAGTGTAAACAAGGCCCGTGGACTGGGACCTGGAAATGAGGAGAGGTGTGGGGCATAGGACTCAGCGCACTTGGCTACATCCTCAGCACAGGGAGATCGGACCCAAAGGAGTGATTTGCAATGCTTGGCTGAGAAAGGATGGAGGCGATGCCATTTTTCTCCCCACAACCACCAAGGCAGGGCCTCAGGGAGCAGCCAGAGGGACACAGTGGAAGCAAGACCTGCCTACACCAAACCACACCCATCCCCGCCAGAGCCTCTTTTATTGTTGCTGTTGTTGTTGCTTTTTGACCTGAGCCTGGGGCAAAACCAACATGGATGCACTGCCATGATTAATCCCAGATAATCCTTTCGATTCAGATACAATCTCCCTTTTCTCATTTGTAACCCTCCACTCTGCTGGTTGGGGCATTCTGGTCACTGGTTGGCTTATACAGTCACATTTAATCCACTCTCTAGATATATATGCTACACCTCCACCCGCTACCATTTTTTCTCTCTCTGGTGTAATCAGACTATATATAGTCTCTCTGAGTGCCTCTTAGTCTCTCTACCTGGTCATGTCATTTCCAATTTCACTTCCTCCCCGCTCTGTTATTGTTCTCTTTGTATATGCTCTTCCATTAACACTGCCTACACCTGGCTCTTTATTTGTAGCTGGGAAATCTGCTTTTATGCCTTTCGACTGTCCTTTGTCTTTTGGGGTTTTTCATTTCATCTTTCCTTTATTCTTTCTTTACTTTGAATTTTTATTTATATTCCTTCCTTCCTCTTTTTTTTGATTGTTTCTGTACTGTTTTGTATTTTGTTCCCCTCCTTGTTTTTCTTGTTCTTTTTCCTGTTCAGTTTCATGTTTACTGGTTTTGTCTGTGCGTTTGAGGACGTTTGTACCCTGCGTGGTTATCTGCTTTCTTTTTCCAGGGTTACCTTAAGAAACAAGCCAAAGTATACATGGTGGAGAGTCCCAAATACCTCTAGGAGTAGGGAAACAAAATAAACTCTCAAAAAGAGAAACCAAGAGACACCATTCAAAGAACACTTCCTGAACGGACGGGCCCTGAACAGTCAA